ACAAAATGGTCCATTTTTGTTTACTTTTGTCAGAGATGTGTATTCCATTGCCATTCATATATTTTAGGTGCATGAATTCAGCAAAGTAATCCGATATAGTTCAGTAGTCCATAATAGTAGTGAGTTATCCACAAGACTGGCAGTGTCAGAAGTTGTTGACTTGAGCCTTTTACAGCTCAGCATACTAATATGGCTTTACTTTTTATACCTTGAATTTATACTTTTCTGCTGGATGATTAAGACCAAGATAAAGCAAGACCTATATAACAAGAAATGTAGTTTTTGTATCTGATAATGTCAGTGAAATCCCCTCAGGACTTATCCTGAAACCCTGTACGTAAGTTTGTAGATTTTTTTTTTGTCAGTGTCAGCCATGTGGATGAGTCATGGCCATTGCTTGACCAATTTGCTCTATGTGAAAGCCTGAGAGAATGTTTCCTCTCCATGTGACTCTCCTTAGGCACACTAAGTAGAGGTTCTTGAAGTAGGTATTGATCTGGATTTTGGCAGCTCCCTTGTGATTTTACTCTTCATTCATAACTGCGTGAATTTGAGTCTTTTATTTTTTGGATAAGTTTGTCTAAGGGTTTATCAATTTTCTTTAATCTTTCTAAGAACCAATTCTTCATTTCACTGATTATAATGTTTCCCTAGTGTCAATTGCATCGATTTCTTTTCTAGTCTTTAAAAATTTCTCTCTTGTAGGAGGTTTGGGTTTGATTTGTTCTTCTTTCTAGAACTTTGAGGCTCACCATTAAATTTTTTATTTGATCTCATTCTATTTTCCTGTTGTGAGACTTTACCTCCATAAATTTCCCTCATCTGACTGCTTTCACTGAATCCTAAAGGTTCTGGTATATTGTATCAGAATTATCACTTAATTGTAGGTCCTGTTTAACTTTTTTAATTTGCTCTATGACCCACTGGCTGTCCAGGAAGGCACTGTTTAATTTTCATGTATTCATGAAGTTTTATAACTTCTTTTGCCATTGATTTCCATTTGGAATGCACTCTGATCACATAATATGCACAGGATAGTTTCAATTCCTCTGCATTTACTTGAGCATTTTTTTTGTTTTTGTTTTCTTTTTGAGATACAGAATCTTATTTAGAAACTGCTTAATGCAGGAAAAAAAAACACCTGTGAAGAATGGCCAATCAGAAAATGTTTTCCCAGTGAAGTGAAATTTTAGGACAACAGAAGTCTAAAAGGCTATAAAAGTGAAATAACACCACTGTTATTTGAACAATGGCTAGTTGCTTGCATGTTTTGGCATTGTTAATCACTGAATCTGGGTTTTTTCCTCTGATTCCACACAGAGCCTGTTAAATGTATATTACCCACTACTGAGATGGTTGAACCCCTGATGTGCTTGTATTGATTTGCATCTGGTGGTAACTTGTCCTAAAATGTGTGTGGAAAACAGGTATTTCACTTTAGCACTTTCTGTGGGCTAGTATATGGGCAATTTAGAGAATATTCCAATGTCTTAGAAGAATGTATATTAGGTGATGTGGGGTGGAACACTCTGTAGATATCTACTGGTTCATTTGTTTACAGGTTTGGTTCAGTTCTAATATTACTTGGTGGATTTTTTTTGCTTAGTTGATCTATCTCATATGGTATTAGAGTTTCAAGGTCCCCCATTACAAGTGTGTTGATGTTCATTTAATTCTTCATGTCCATCAATATTTGTATTATATAACTTAGCTCACCAGAATTTAGTGTGTATGTAACTGTGATTGTGATCTCTTCTTGGAATGTTTCCTTAACAAGTATAGAGTGACCTTGTTCATCTATTTTCATCAGTTGTAGTTTTAAGTTCACATTTTCTGCAAATGGAATAACTGCCCCTGATTTTTTTTTAGGTGGGGGCGTTTCCTGTAGCTCCTGTACCACAGCATATTGTTCTCCATCCTTTAACTTTCAGTCTATGAATTTCTTTTTGAATTAATTGTGTTTCTTGCAACTTAAGACGATATACTTAAGTGAAATAAATCCTATTGTTTCCCTGGTGTGAGAAAATAAAAGAGCAAATAAGGACCAAAATATACAATAGCTATTGTGAAATGGGAAGACATTGCTCAAAAAGAAAGAGGAGCTAGGGAAAGAAAAAGGGGAAAATGAAGAAGGGAAAAATTAATTTAAAGATGATAAAATAGAAATGAAGCTTTGTAAATACAGAGAGGAAGGTTTGTATGGAGGAGAAGGGATTGGGAAAACAAAAGGAATCAAAATATATCATGAACAGGTAGAAATCACCTATAATGATCATTATGATAATTATGTTTGTATAAAATTTATCAATAAACTTAATCAAATTAAATAAATTTCCATGGATGACTTACTAGACAAACTGTAGAGAATCAAAATAATGAATTAAGGATTCATGAAATTTGAAAATTGAGAACACTTTCTGACACTGTATTATCTTCTCTGTTTCCTTTTATGCAGGAATACATGTTTATGCATTGGGCTCTTAGCAAAAAACTTGAAGAAAGAAGTGATGGAGAATGATAGTCTATGATCACTGAAAATGAGCTACCAGTAGGTTAGAATCATTGCCATCAGGTGAGAGAAAGCTATAAGAATCAAAAATGGAAGTGAATTTTTGATCGAGAGAGACTTTCAACTTAAGTGAAAAGCAAACAACAGATAAAACCAACTCTGATGGAATTGTGCATTTTGCATTTCAATAAGTGTCTCAGTTCACTGTTTTATGTATCTCACTCACTTGGAAGACAGAGTTAAGTCTTTGAGTGATGTTGTACACTTTTTATTACTTACGATGTTACCATAGAACACTTCAGTATTTCTCAGTGTGTTAGCCATGCTGGACATGAACATCACTCTTGTCAGGGAGTTCATCCTGGTGGGTTTCCCCACTGCCCCATGGCTGCAGGTCCTGCTCTTCTTCCTCTTCCTGGTGGTCTACCTCCTAGTGATAGCAGAGAATCTCATTATCATGCTCACCATCTGGGTCACTGGATCCCTCCATAAGCCCATGTACTATTTCTTGAGTAGCTTGTCTTTTCTAGAGGTCTGGTACGTCTCTGTCACAGTCCCCAAGATGCTGGATGGATTTCTTCTGCAGAGGCGACGTATCTCCTTCACAGGCTGCATGACTCAGCTTTACTTCTTCATCTCCCTTGCATGTACAGAGTGTGTGCTCCTGGCAGCCATGGCCTATGACCGTTATGTGGCCATCTGCCATCCTCTCCGATATCCTGTGATCATGACAACAGCTTATTGTGTGCAGCTGGTGGCCTTCTCTTATGTGACTGGTTTCATGATTACTGTGATTAAGGTTTATTTCATTTCACATGTCACCTTCTGCGGCTCCAATGTCATGAATCACTTTTTCTGTGACATCTCCCCAATCCTCAAGCTGGCATGCAAGGACTTGTCCACAGCTGAGCTAGTGGACTTTGCTTTGGCAATTGTCATCCTTATCTTCCCTCTCACCACCACTGTTCTCTCTTACATCTATATTGTGTCCACTGTTCTGCATATACCCTCTACCCAGGGAAGGAAGAAAGCTTTCTCCACCTGTGCCTCCCACCTGACAGTTGTCATAATTTATTACACTGCCATGATTTTCATGTATGCCAGACCTAGAGCTATTGCTTCCTTTAATTCGAACAAACTAATCTCAGCTGTGTATGCAGTTCTCACACCCATGCTAAACCCTTTCATCTACTGCCTAAGGAACCAAGAAGTCAAGAATGCTATCAAGAAGACCCTGGGGGGAGCTCAGTGCCTCCTGCAAGCTGATCCCTGATGCCTTAAAAAAAGAAGAGCTTTGCAAGTAGGATGTTATTTCTATGACATTTATCATGGTTCTGTTTAATATTAACACTATGCTGTAGACCAGGATTCTTAAAAAAAATCAAAGGATGGAAAGCATAAGTATGTTTAATGAAAAAATAGGACATTTGATATATATTGCTTTGACCATCAACTATACATAGTTAAGTGATTTTTTTTGCCTAACCGGGGATTGAACTCAGGCCCTTGCGCTTGCCAGGCAAGCACTTATTCTACTGAGCTAACTCCCCAGTCCCCCATAGTTAAGTATTTAAAGCAATGCATTAATAATTTAATGCATTGCTTTAAATACTTTTGTTTTGATACATATTTTGCACAATATATACCTTATATGTTTATCTATGTGCTTGATATATGTGAGATGTCAAAACAACTCTTAATTCATTTATTTACATATTCACACTACTCATGAATAAGTTTGGCATTCTTTAGTTTGCCTTTCAAGTTTCTTCACAACATGGTCTCAATTATTCTGTTTTTTCCCTTAAACTTTATATCATGTTCCTGATGAACCTATAGAGATGAAATTAGGTTATGATTAATAATTTACTTTTGAAGTTTGAATTTGTGATCCAATATCTTTTATTATCCTAACATTTCACAATGAACTGTGTCAGAAAACATCTTTGAAGCCTCTTTTGAAGTTCTCAAAGGAAGTTCAAATGGGTGATTTTTTTTTTTAAAGATAAGGTCTCTCTGTACTGCAGGCTAGTCTTGAACTCACTTATGTAGTCCATGCTGAGCTAGAGATCATGATGATCCTGTTGCCTGAGTGCTAGTATTATGACATGGGCCACCTTACCTGTCTACAAATGGATGATGGGGAAAAAATGTTCACCATCATTGGCCATCAGAAAAATGCAAATCAAACTAGCACTGCCTTTCCATCTTATTCCAGAAAGAATGACTATCATGATGAATTCAGAAAACAGCAAATGCTGGAGAGGTTGTGGGAAAAAGAAGCCCTTTTACATTACTGTTGGTAATACATGCCAATACAAGTACAGAAGAAATTAGTATGCAATATCTCAAAAAGTTAAAAAATAGGGGCTAGGGAGATAGCTCAGTAGAATAAGTGCTTGCCTGTCAAGCACAAAGGCCTGAGTTCAGTCCCTGGTCTGAAAAAAAAAAGTTAAAAAATAAAAATCCCATCTGACCCAGTTATATCTTCTCTTGGCGCCTTCCTGAGAAAGTTAAAGACAGTATGTTACAGTGATACATGTATGGCCATGTTTATAGCCACACACTCACAATAGCTGAATCTTTCGAGTGGCATATAGGCCCAATAACAGATGAATGGATAAAGAAAATGTGATATGTATAC